GCCAAGCCTCTTTTTCTCTCTGTCTGAATTTCACTTTCTTGGCCAATCACGTAATACCACGTCACAACCAAATCCCACCAAGGTCTGCCACGTCGACATAAGTCACCACGAACTAAATAAGACTAATGTAATGACGGTGTAAAGTAAGAAGTGGACCAAGTGATGCGGATACTGAAGTGGAGTTGACGAGCCATTGTTGAATTCGGAAGAGTCGACGGCTAAAGGCATACCGTCGCTGCCGAGAGCACATGACCGTGGCTCGCCGTTTTGGTTAAGCATAACGGCTCGTAGGACGGAAGTTACAGTCGGGAAGTAAGCCGTACGGTTCTTAGCAAGAAGCCAAGTGAGACCCATTAGGACACAGTCTTTGTTATGCATCTTTGTTGTTCTGTTTCGATCTTCCTTTGATGGGTTTCTTGTTCCCGAAGTTTTCTTCGGGTTTAACTGCAAAAACAAAAGTGTTTGTTTGATTTAGGATTTTATAAAGTAGAAAGTGGAAGCTAGTGGCTAAGCTTTTAGTTATGGTGGGTTTGGTGATTAAGATGCAGAGGAATGAATGACATCATACGATTTTAGAAAGAAAATGATGCGTGGAGATCACGGATTCATTAAGCGCGTTGATGTGTGTTGTTACTGTCAGACTTTGTCAGATAGGAAAAGAACAAAAAGATAAAGAACAAGACTTTTCCAATTTACCATCCGCCATGGATGATGGACAGATCATAAAGAATCCTAGAACACATCATTCCAAATCTTCTTCACTCACTCACTCAAAACCCTAATTTTCTAGAACATTGAAGGGTCAATAAAAAGTTATCAGCTTTGGACCAGACCCTGACCTTTATGATTGATTATATTCCTCATTCACCCAAATGCTAAAACACCAAGAACACTAAAAGGGTATCAAAATACCATCTTAAGTTACTAAATTTACAGCAAAATTTGTCCTCTAATTCCATTGAAAAACAAATCTAAATGGAATTTAGTGAAAAAAGTTTACCTTATAGAGACTGTTCAAGCACTTGTTACAGCCACTTAGAGAAGAGAATCTACCAGCATTGTTATGGTTTCCACTCAAACAATCAGTCTCTAACCTATCAACACTCTGATCACCAACAAGCTTCCCTTGTTCGTTCACACTAAAAGCTTCCGAACAACTCAAATGATGCAATCTGATTCCACAGTAACAGTAAACGACGTCGCACGTCTCGTTCGGTCTCGCTAACTCAATCCCTCTCCTTCTCAATGATTTCCCCAATCCGTCGACGCAAGTCTCCGAGTCATCGGGAAGCAAAGGCATATCTTCTTCCGGCGTAATCACGGCAGAGGAAGAAGAAGAAGCGTTTCTCGCGGCGGCGGCGGAGGAAATCGAACGGCTTAAAGCAGTCGTTGAGTAAGCAGAGTAAAGCCACGCGCCTAGCACGGGGCAGCATTTGCCTTTGTGGAGCTTTTTACCGGTACAGGCTGATTTGATTCCGTCGAAGAGGTCTTCTGGTAAATCTAGTGGGCAACCGGAGAAATCGGATTGCTCCGGGAATGCGGGTATTGTGGCGGGTGGGGATGATTTGACCCGGAATGGTTGGACGGTAACCGGGTCTGGATTCTGGGTCGGGTTTGGTGAAACGGGTGAGAGGATGGT